GGGAAAGACCTACCCATTTCAATTACAAGTGCTCTTCTTTTACTCAGTAGAAAGATAGTTTTTTCTTTAAATATTTCACTGGGAACATTTCAGATTTTCAGCTAATAGGAATATCTCAGCAATTCTGCTTCTTTAATAAATTAGTTAATTTGCTAAGTTATGTTTTACAGCTCCAATTACTTGAATATTTATTGTAAAGCACCAATTACAATAAGTTCTATTTCATAATTAATGAAATCTGGAAAAATTATTCTAACTGGTAAGGTAAGATCTCAATATATTCTGAAAATTTTATCTATCTCCTTGATATTATTCTCTTTCATGAACACTTGGTAGTGAGAAAGATCAGAAGAAATATATTTGTTAAAGTAGAGTCATAAATACTTTAATGGTAAGGACAGCCACCAATAATAACATACTACTTGAGTTATATTATGCGTGCTTTTCTTTCCAAAGCAAACTGTCATTTGGGAGACATTTTCTAAAATTTAAAAAAAAATATTTCTGAGACTTAAACTATCCCTTCTTTTGTAAGACAATTAACTATAATTTTGGACCTACCACAGTGATTTCTGATGACAGTATTCAATAATTATATCATCTTCAAACCTATTTTGATTTTTTACTCTTTAGTTTAAATCCATTATATTCTTGAACTTTACATCAATTCATTGTTCATTCTTTTAAAACAGGAGTCTACCTTCTAATTATCCTAGGCTATAATTTGGTTTTGCTCACTTTTTCCTTCAAATTTTCTCATATTTCTATTGTTCCCAACAGTCCAAAATAGTAGAATTGTCCTTGACTTGAATTTACTGTTTTTCTCCTCTGCCTTGGTGTTATCCAGTCCTGAACATTTCTAGTACATGTTCTTAACAGAATCTTTCCACTGCTGAGATTCTTATTTATATCGTAATCATTTTCAATATCAAATCTTAACCTCATCTCATTTATAGCCTTCTTAAATCTTTAATCTCTGAGTTTCAGACCATCTGCAGTTCTGTTGCTTTACTATTATCGCTCCATTTTTCAAAGCTCTAAATTTCTGACCTTTTCTATAAGCTTTGATGACTTCATCATCCAGTTTTTAAACACTCAGTAGCTGTGCCTTTCTCATATTCTCTTGAAAATTTCACTTAAAAAGTCATTATACAAGGTACCTATTTTCCATTTTGTTTCTATAAACTTCACTTGCATGGTATCATTTAATATGCACCAATTGAACTAATTATATGCCAAGAAATATGTTGGGGGCTAAATAGAAAATGGTAGGCTGTAGACAGGGTACTACCATTGTTTATGAATTGATTATTCAATATTATTCAAATGAACAGAAATTTATATTTTAAGCTGTAATGAAGAGATGACTTTAAAACTTAATGAGAAAGAAAGAACCTTGCATTTTGGTTTCTTGATCTCTACTTGTCATAGTTTCCTGGCATTTTAGTGTTTTCTTTCTTTTATTAATGAGCACCAATGAGCATCCTCTCTGCCAATCTCCCATTTCTGCTTTTACTTCCCACAGTCTTGATATGTCAATCAATTTCATTAAAATAATGCACAAAGTGAAGAGGGTTACTTCATCTTTGGGATTAAGTACAGTAAGTTGTAGAAATGTGAACTCTGGACTTGAGAAACTATATTTTATCTCATGAAAAATACATTTGCTTACCTCACAGTTGTCAGCTTATACGAGACTGTTCCATCCTTGGGATCAAAACACAGATGTTATTAAATCTTTTAGGTATCTCAGGGTGTGTTAAAACTTTCATTTGGTTTCTGAAGCATATGTTCTATAGTCACTCATGGCAAATGTTCTATATAACTGAAAAGCTATTTTTGAAGTTAAATATATAAAAAATTACATATACATCTTTTTTTCCCCATGTCTAGTAAAGTTCCTTATTGGATTAAGAAATTATATTTCTGTAGTTGAGGAAATAAAACAAAAATATGTTTCACATGTATTTAACTTTATAGACTTTTACTTCTTTTGTACTTTTCCTTTTAGAAGCAATTGGATATAGTTCTGAAGCAACTAGAATGAACTGGCTTGAATGAATGGAAGAAATATAAGAAGTCCTAGAAAACTATGATTCTTAATCTTCTAAAATAATTTAATGGTATACAAGGAATATAATGCAGACACAATCATTATTTGCAGACTAAGAGCATTTTAATTATTAATCAGTATTTACCATGAGATCTGTATACTCCTGGGTCTTTAGATAATATCTAGCTGTGCATAGTATTGTCAGAATGGCATAGGAAAATCTTGATATTTAGTTTCCAAGAAAAAAAGAGGATGTTGTTTATCCACAAGAGGAGATGCTATAAAGTCATATAAACAAACATAACCTATCCAGCTGTTTTGATGACATCTGGAAAGAAAACAAATGTAGTCAATCAAGTGGCCTCAAATTCATAGTGTGGTTGAGCCTCTCTGTGTCTCTGGATTCTTGTGACCATGATCAGATAGAAGACTAAAGGGAGGCAGATTTGGAGCTATCACCTGACTCACCTCTCACTGGAAAAAATGAGTCTGATTATAAACTAAGTGTGCTTGTGAAGTGTGAGTCTGAGCATCCAGAAACCTTCAATTATTGTTTATAACTGTCTTTCTGCCCACTCTGCTCCTCTGGTATACTGAATACATTGATATAAACTTAACATTCCACAAAGGTTAAAATTCACAGGAAGCTCTTTATTTTGTTAGGAGTTCTAAATGAGTAAGTTTCTGCCATCACTCTTCTGGGACAAGGAACAGATAGTAGGAAAGAAAAAGAAATAGTGGCCTGGTTTGTTGTCTCTACGTGTCCCACTTTATTTGCCAGGAATGAGAAATATTTGGGAGGGCTGGAAAGTCACCGAAAGAGTATGAGATAAAGTTGCCCTCCAAGAATAAAATCAGGAAGATTCAAACATAATAGATGAGATTAGTTATCTGCGGAAATGACATACCCTAAGGAATAGCCAAAAAGATTATGTGGAGAAATTTAGAAACACCCTGAGGAATTCGAGAATAGTAGAAGCTTGATTGTATCCATATATTTCCAGCAACAATCTAATCACAGTAAATGGATGAACCTGTAACACAATCAAGCAGTAACTTAATCAGTTATAGCGAATAGATTAAGTACCCTAATCACAATGAATTGTGCTGTAAGCCACCTGAAGAAAGAACATACTAACAAAGGGGGGTATCAATAAGGTAGTGGGGACCCCCCAAGAAGCCAGAATTTGTCTGTGATGCCAGCTCCCTCCAGTGTAAGCCGTGCAACTACAGTGTTCTACTTCACAAGCTGCAAGAACCAAGGGCTGTTTCCATAGAAATTTGGATTTCAAAAGCTTTTATTTACATGTAGATTTGTCTACTTGGAGACAGTACACTTACCAGAACAAAAACCTAAAAACTAAAACAATCCTTATCAGTTTTCAGGCCAAAGAGTCTCATTTTTAGAATTATAATAACAGCCAAAGTGCTGGTAATAAAAATTAGTAAAAGGATAGGACTCATTCACTCAATAACCACTTATGGAATACTACTATAATACTCAGGTCACTGGCCTAGGAGCTGGAGATTCAGTTAAATAAGAAAAATCTAGGCCCTTTTGTAGCATTCATTTTAAAAACCAGAAGACAAATATTAAACAGCTGATTATACATTTAATTATTTTATTACAGTGATGACGTTTCTAGGAAGAAAATGTACAGGATTTAATTGAACTGAAAAAATCATGGGGCCCCTGAACTGACCTGAGATTTACAGAAAGCATTTTGAGTATTGTTTTGCTTGATTTACATATATTTTAAACAGGAAAGAAATAGAACAGCGATAGATACAGATGGATGTGTGTGGGGCGAGGAAAACCAGGCTAACAGTGTGAATAAAATGGGTGACAATAAGTAGCTCAAACAATCTGTGATAAAACAATCATTTGCTGAGAAACTAGAAAGGCCAACACTCATATCCCTTTAAAAATGGCTCCAAGAGAAGCTTACACAGTAGTCCACATTCCAAACATGATGTACAATATAGAAATGAGCTACTTGTGTGATATTTTTAGAACAGATAACAGCTTTGAAGATTTTGTACCACTGGAGTTGACCATGGACCAAAATTATCTATGTTCATTCCTGAAACAAAATGAGGGTGCTGGAAATGTGTTATGATTCCATCCCCACTGTAAAGCATTGCACAATCAGCTACAGCTGATAAGACCAATTTGAGAATGCAAGATCATAAGGAATAAAGGTGGAATGATTGCAAAGTGATGCTGAAATTGAGCATTCTCCTGTAATTTCTATCCTAGGCAGAGGAGGGTTATTGAAAAGTTTTAGAGCAACTATGCACATGCTCTAAGTGGGTCTCAAGGGCACTCAGGCAGAAGCTGTATTACCTAGGAATCTGTTAGGAGTTGGCTTGCCAGGACATAAAACACCGTGCTGTGTAAGGTACAAGGAAGGCGCCAGCATATGTTAGCTCCCCAGTCACAGATCACACAGAAAAGAGGTAGGACCAGATGAAGCAGCAAATAGGTAAATGGCAAGAGTATCAGTTCCTAAAAAAGAAAAAAAAAATTAGAGAAAGCACTTGGAGAAAAAAACTCAGTGATTGTAAAGAAAACTAATGAATAGACTGCGGCCAGGATAATAAAGCTTTATGCATTTATTCTTTAAGCCTGTAGTCCTTAAATTTTTACTGAGAAATTGTTTGGAGTGCTATGCTAAAATGTTACGGGAGTTAATACATTTGACGTTCTGGAATTCAGTACTTTATATATGCAAAATTTGGTAAGAAAGCAATTCACCAAATAGAAAATCAGCATGAATAAATGGGAAAAAGGAAGGATAGGAGGAACAAAGAAGGGAAGAAAGGAAAATTTGAATGCATTGTGCATAAATAGGTTCTGTTTTCCCTGAGTTTCTAGTTTCTCTAATCTTCTCTCCCTTGTCTTCACGTCCCTGAATTTTTTTTTTTTTTTTCCCTTACTTCACAGCCCTGTGAATTGTTCAATTGACATTCAAGACAGGATGCTTCACACATTGAGATGAGTGCTATTCCTTTTGTTTCCTTCTAAAAGTCTACTGGGGAAGTTTAATCAAGGAGACTTCGTGGGAGTTAACATGTGCAAAAGTAAGAATATCACATTTTAAAGAACTGCATAATAAGCTAACCATTGATCCCAAGGAGAGAATAAATAAAAGCTGGCTTAAATATGATAGAAAACACAACAGAGTAAGGATAACGTGGCTTTGAAAAAGCACAAGATGCTGAAACCGAGAGTAATCCAAAGGAGCCTGTGGATAACTGTATTATTTAATTATGCAAATGATTAAGGTTAAAACGTACTGAGAACCACAGCATTTTAGGTTTGGGAAATAGTTTTAGTGATGTTTTAGTGCAGTGTCCTTGTTTGCCAGCTGAAGAATCTATGGTCCCTGAGAAGTTCAGCATCTTGGAAGTGATATTTGTTATGTAGTAGTAGTTACTATTATTATTATTAATCTTATTAATATTTAGTGGTAGAGCTACAATAAAAAACCAAGTTGCCTGACTTCTAGTCAATTCACTGTTTCTACTCAACTTCACTTTTTTTGAGACAAGTTATTCTCTTTTTTTGAGACAAGTTTCCCTGTGTACAGGGTGGCCTTGTAATTACTGTGGGGTCTTTCTGCCTCAGCCTCCCAAGTACTGAGATTACAGGTTTGCACCACCATGTCTGGCTCCTATTCCATCTTAAATGTATGCCTCAGTATTATAACACAAACATAAACAAACATATTCAAAACATAAACATTACATATCTATCCTAATATAATAGATTAAAAAGTTGTCTAAAACAGGAAATTCTCTCGAAAACACAAATGTGGTCTTACATAGGGATGACCTGGGTGGCTTGTTGGAACACAAATTCCAGCATTCCTGGATTTCAGTCCCTGAGATTCCAGCAATCTGTAAAATAAGATTGCTGTTACGGGGCACCTTCTTATTCACATATTTACTACCACTGCTCTAGAAAATAGGAAATAGTTATAGTCAGTCCAATCTTAGTAAGCTGGGTGAGAGCAGCTGACAATTAGCAATGAATAAACCATGTGAACTGAATTACCATTACACTAAGTCCCTGACTCACCAAAGAGTGCCACTCGTGGAGAACACTGGGAAATTGGATTCCTTCGTGCTCCAGTAAAATGAGAATTCTGCAGTTCACCTGTGAAAGTTCACAGCTCAAACGTTCACAGGCCAGGGACTTACTGTACTGACTTTAGCTCTAACTATTTGACGTGCGCAATAGTCCTTTACAAATTCCTTCTCTGCCTACAGACCACTCTTAACCTCCACCTGTTTGCAGTGAGTAAAATGACCCCTCTCTCCACCCTTACCTCTTTTGTGAAATTTTCCGTGTCCTTCATGTTGCCATTGAAGTTTTTGTTTTTGTCTGTCTAGTTGTTATTTTATGTAAAAGTTTTGTTTCTGTTACTACATATTTGCAGTGCACAATGATTATATTCCTCATGGGGAGTAGGTATATGTATGTAACACATCATAATTATTTTTCCAACCGTCTCTTCTTCCCTCTCTATACTATTCCTCCTACAAAAATGTCTCTCTGTATCTTATTATCTTTAATTTGTTCTTTATTTATCTTGGGTTTCTCATATAGGAGAAACCATGTGATAATTAAACTTTGGTCTTCGATCAACTTAACACTGTGGTCTCATCATACATTTACTTTTCTTCAAGAAACTGAAGTTTATACTTCTTTATGGCACAGTAGTAGTTCATTGTGTATAAATGTCACATTTTCTTTACTCACTCGACTTTTGATAGCCATACATACTGCTTGAAAGGTTTAGCTATTTGGAATTATGCTGCCATAAATATGTGTATGCATGTATTACTATAATATGTCTTTAATTCTTTTGGGATGATACTTAGAAAGGGAATAGTTGTGTTGAATGGAATTTCTAGTTTTAGTTTTTTGAATAATATATTAATTTTCATAGTGTACTAGTTTGCCACTAGTTAGTGGGAAATTACAACTAGTGGTTGTACTAGTTTACTTTCCCACTAACGATGCAGAAGGATTCCTTTTTCCCCTGAAGGCTTGCCTGCATTTTTTATTATTTGATCTTACTTAATAAGTCATTAAAAATTAGAATTTTTTTTTCTGAAGTAAAACAGAACATCACTTTTGTTTTAGTTTGCATTTCTTTAATGGCAAGAGCTGTTGGACATTTTTTCATGTATTTATTGGCCACATGTACTTGTTCTGAAAAGTGTCTATTTATTTCAAATATTTATTTTTTATTGGATTTTTGTATCCTGTACCTTTCCACCATAGTCCTTGAACACTGAATTATAATTTCTGCCTTTCCTGTTTATTTCCCATAAGACTTTAAACCCCTTGAGGCACTATTTGCTTATGCTTTCATTATGCCTAGTGGAGCACCAGTCACAGAAATACTTATTGATTGAATGTTTAGAAAAATGAAAATAATTTATAAAGGTGAAGAGGATAAAACACTCATATTAGAATTCATTCTCTGTCAGTGAAATTTGTGGCTCCTGTCTGTTATCTGTCTATCCTCAATTTAATCTTACTAGAACTACAAATAAAATGAGACTAAATTTCTATGAGACATGATAAATGTGTAAATTCACGATACAAAATGTTCCACACACGTATTCAGAAATTACCATCCAAAAGTTTAGAACCCTCAAGGATAGTATATTATTTCATTGCTGAGCCATAGTCTTTAGTTTTAATTTCTAGGATCATAAAATGAGAAGGAATCCTTGATAAAATCTGAGTATTTTGGTTTATATCTGGATGTCCACCTCAAAGCTTCATGTTCTCATGGATGAGGCTTTGGATTATGGGTGTGTGATATAGGATCATGGGTACATGATACTGGATTAGTTCAGAGTTATAGTTTAGCATAATTTTGGGTGTTATTGATGGACTTACTAAAGAGGGAAGCACTGCCCTGGGTGTGGGTGGCAAGAACCACAGGCTTGCAGCCTGGAAAGAATAAAAAGAGAAGAAGGAGGAAGACTCAATCCCTCTGTGTGCTATACCTGGACTATTTCTCCTCTGCTATGCCCCTCTGCCATGACATCCTGTTTGGAGCTAGCTGACTATGGACTGAAACTCTGAAAACTGAGGTAAAGGAAGCATTTTCTCCTTTAACCATTTGCCAGTCCAATTACTTAAATACAGGATGACAAAAAATTGCACTTTTGTTAATCTTAATAACAGGAAATCCAAGAATAATTTTGTCAAATTTATTCAAGAATCAACTAGTTGAAATAACACCTGCCCAAGTAATACTCAGAATAGTGAGTATGCAAAAAAAGGTACTGCCCAAATGACATTTTAAATTGTTTGCAGGCTACCCTCCCTATGTCCTATGGTGGGAATAACATTCATGCCCTTAATCCCAGCATTAGGGGGGCTGGGGGTTTAGCTCAGCGGCGTAAGCACCTGCCTTGCAAGCAGGCAGTCGTGAGTTCGATCCCTGGTACCGATATAAAAAGGAAAAAGACCAAAAAAAAAAAAAAAAAAAAAAAAAAAAATCCCAGCATTAGATAAAGGAATCAGTCACAAACTCCTGATTCAGCTATCTCTGAAAAATGTCCCATCTAAAGTATATGAGGCTTTGGAGGGACATCTAGACACAAACCATAACATTATCTTAATTCAATTTCCAATGTTACAAGAGGTTTTTTTTGGTTTTGTTTTGTTTTTTGTTTTTAACTTGACAATATCCTTGTTTCCATATTTCTCCTTACAGAACTATATTTGGGTGAAAATTAGATGTATTATCAGAATAAAATTTCAAATGGTAGCAATATATACTTGAACATTAGAGTGTATTCCTAATTTTGTTTCATGGTGACACGCCTACCTAGTTTAAGACACAGCTAATAAACCTTCCTTGCACTTCAAGTATCCATCTCTGATAAAGAAAAATGGAATAGTTGAGTTTATGCAGCTGTTCATGAGCTAATTATCTGCAATCATTTCTGATTACTTAATAGGCCATGGTAGGATGTGTTTGCTGCTATGTTGAGAGTACACATTAGGCTTTAATGTGCTGATATGGTTAATTGTTGTGCTCACTGCTGCCTGCTAATAGACTATTCCTGAAAATGAGACCATATCTCAATGGAATTTGCTTGTTTATTTTAAATAAATAATAACTACAAACTCAGATCCTAGATCTGAGTTTTAAGAATGCTCTTTTTAATGCTGTATCATTTCTAATGCATTTAAATTATTCAAGTTTGAGAATACAAGTTATTAAACTTATGAGTCAATAACCTACTCAAATACGTAGATTCAACATTTTTCCTGCCATTGATAGCAAAAATTCTTTTAAATGGTGCCAAAAAGCTGAATGCAATAACATAATAATGAGAAAAATACTGCATAGTAAAAGTAGACAAGTATTTATTAATATATAAACCAAGATGCCCATGCGAGTGATTGGGGGTAACACTGGAATGTTAAAACGGAAGGTAGACAAGGAATTGTTGCTATGGGACCATTCTTTTTCTTTCTTTTTTATAGTTTTGCATTTATGAAAGCGCTTATTCTGAAATACTCTCATGTAGTTTAAAAAATTTAGAAGGCTGTTCTTTCATTGACTCTGTAAAACACTTTTCATACCACAAACCTGAATGCAGAGCACAAGTATAAATGGTTCAGGTGCTCTCCTTCATCCTTCCTTTTCTGTTCACAAGACTTATTTTTGTTGGGTGGTCATTTCTTCTGTCCTGCATCTCATTTTAACATCAGCTCTTTCTTCCCTTACTACTTGGAGAAGCTATAAGATTCAATGATAAGTAGGTCATGCAGTCCAAATCCCCTTTGCTTTCTCTCTGCAACTTTTAAGAATGATAGAGTTCTGTTGTTCTCTACCATTCCCTAGAAAGGCTTCGCTCTATTTCTTATATCATTGATTCATCCCTTTTTTGAACAAGTTTAACTAATCAAGACACTGTGGGATTATTGGCATGTGCCACCATGCTCTGCCTTAAGTCTTTCTTTAAGGTAATTACTATTGGTATGGGACATTCCACAATAGTTGTATCAGATAATATGAGTAGTACTATTAAATAAAGAA